CAGCTCCTGGAACGGGCCGTTCCGAGGCCGTTCCAGGAGTAAAAAAATATGTAAATTTCTATTTTGGAACGGGCTGTTCTAAAACAAGAACAGCCCGTTCCACGTTAAAAAAAAAATTACCAAAAACTTTGTTTAAAACGGGCCGCTAGTGTTTAGGATTGAAGACAGCTTGTCATTTGGAGAGATCTTGTGAACTTAGAGCAGGAGGCAAGGATTTCAATGTGTAATGAAAGAGAAAAACAAGCATGTTCTTGGACTTACTATAGCGTTATTGTATGAAAGTATGAATGTAATTATTAATGTGGTAAGAGGCTATTAAAATTTTGAAGTGAACCAATTTTGAATGCAGTTAACGTTGATCTAAGTACAAGTTTAGGTGGTGTTCATGAAACACGAGAATGAAATTTATGTTTGAATCAGCTTACTTGGGAGAAATAATTTAGTTGACAATTTTTTTAGTGCTTTTGAAAAATAATTGTTTTATTTAAAAATATTTTTTTTTTCAAACAGAAAATAACACGTCAAAAATGTGATTCCGGTTGTGAACGCAATTGTCTTAAATCTTGTATCTGCTTGCCTTACCTTCATATCTGACAGGAACTTTTTGAGCATAAATTGTTTGGTGGGGCAATTCATAGTTCGTTATGGTCTAATAACTTGCTTCACCCAAAGTTAATTTTGACCATTTTATATTCAATAAATATTAATGTATTGTATAATATGATATTGTAATTATATTGATATTGTTTGTTTTTAAGATATAACTAAAATTTGAACTACTAGAGTTATTCTAAATTCACACAAAAGTTAGTTATATTATCTGAATGGGGATTCATTTACCTAAAATCAAGTTTTTTTTTTTGTTAACTTTATATTTGTGGACCCTTAAATTAGGGGTGTTACTAGCGCGATTTGATTTTGATTTTTGATTTAAAAGTCGTCTAAATTAAGTAAAATTAATCTTTTGCGACTTGTTTTAAATCAATTTTTGTGATCTTAAAAATTTGTTATTTAAAAATCAATTAAAAATACAATATTATGTTATTTGTTTAAGAGTCATGAGTCAAAAATAACATTAGAAGTGTGTGAATATTGAAAAATTTCGATCATAACACCAATCATTATCTTATTATTTTAGTGAAAACTTTTATTTAGTATAATTTTGATAATCACATCAAATACTTTTTGCTCATATATATAACATGTCACTCAAAATAAATTATTTTTAAACATTATAAATAGTTAACAATTTTATCCTAAATTTCAATTTAGTAGCTTATTAATCTATAAAACACCTTTTAAATCAAATATGTTACTATGCTACTTTGTCTATTTGGGAAAATAAAAAAAATATTTAGTAGTTTACAGTTTTATAATTTTTTTTGTTGTGTCGTTGTCATGTATCTAAATTAACTAAAATCATGGCAGAAAACGTTAGGTTTGTGCAGAGATAGAAATAGGGGGTTTTATAAAATTAAAATTTAAGTATGATTTATTATTTATTATAGACCTTTTTAAATAGACTTGTTCTAATTTATTAATTTATTTAAAAGTTTTTTTTAAAATTAATAATGTTAAATAAGTCAATATATTTAATTTTAATATGTCAATAAATTTATTTTTAAATATACGTACAAGTCTTCTTTTAATTTACATGAGAAAAATAGTTTACTTCATTATTATTAAAATTTTAGAGTTTAAAACAAACATAAAAACTAGCCTAAGAGGGACAATTCATGTATATACTCATTTACACTAATTAATTACACTCATGCATAGGTGTGATGAAAGAAGACAAAAAAATATTAAATACTATAATATTAATTACACTATTTTTTGATTTTGTATGAACATGAAATGTAAAACGTTTAAATATAGTTGAAATGTAAAAAAATATTGATAATTTGATTTTTTTTATTACAAATATATTTAATTAATGATATTATTAATAAGACAATATTTATATTATTTTTTATTATATCTTATAAATAAATAAATTGACCTATTAAGTGTAACAAATTTTTTTTATCAACCTAAATTTATCCTTTTTAAATAAATAAATTTTAAAAAAAATCTAAACCTAACTTTTAATTTAACAGGTCATGCCAAATTATAATCAGATCAAACCATAAGTTTTCGATTTAAAGTCTGACCTATTTCTTAATTATGTGTTAAAATTTCAACTCATAATTTTTTATATATATAAATTATACTAAAGGATTCAAACTTAAGAATTTGTCCATATCAATCCAACTATTAAATACTAGGCTGATTTATTTCAACTCATAATAAATAGCCTTTTATTTTGTATCGACTCATAATAAATAGCCTTTTATTTTAGATGATGATAAAGTTATTGAACAATTATTTTTAATGTATTTTGGCAAAGTAAATCCATTTAATATGAACTTTTGAATTCTAATTTATCTTGTTGTAAAAAAATTATTTAAAATATTATTTAGGTAATTTTTATAGAACTTATACCGATCCAAATGACCATTCAATCAAGGTATTTTGGTCATTTTATGTAAAAATATGATAAATTTCTAGAAAAGTTCTAAAATTATAACTTATTATTCCAAATACATTTTTAAGTATAATAATATCAATTTTAATCATTTTCTAATTATCAGAATTTTTAATTGTTTTTAAAATTATTCTATATTGACAATTAAAATTTGATATTCCATTCGAGTTGTTTACAAATAAATAGAATAGAAAAGTCAATTGCTTGATTAAAAACGAGGATGATACAAATTTTGTCTTTCAGTGGGTTTCTTTCTATACTTAAAACGGTATTAGAAGAAATGTTAGATTATCAATGGTATAAGGCCACATGGAATTTTCAATTTTTTTCTTGATTGGTATATTGATCATTTAGCTTTTTTTATATTTATCCTTTTGATACGATTTTTTAAAATACTACTTTATTGAGGATTTAGTACCTTTTTTGAAGACAGGTTAGAATTTATTATTTCTATAAAATAAAAAAAATTCCATACAAAACATGATAATAATAATAATGTGTTAGAAGAAAATTGTTAATTAACACTCCTTTTCATGACATTTATGGAAACAAGCGACAACACAACTCAACTATCTCATTAGTGGTCAATGGTTGAATTTCCTATTTCAAAATTCTCAATAATAATGTAATTAACACAAATTATATTTACCAAATTATTAAATTATTATTATTTTGTATTAAATAAGTAATAATTAAATTTTTTGGAGCACGGTCAACTGATGTTTAAAATAATAATCTAATAACAATTATATTTATTAATTGTTTGAATAGAATTGTATTAAGTACTAAATTAGAGAAAAAAGGTAATGCACGCCCTAAAAATTAATTTATTCGATAGTTAATATTAGTAAAATAAACAAATTAAAATTATCTGCCAAAATATAACACAATTAATTAAATACAAACCTGTGATTGAATTAAGATTTGATTCTTTGTTAGAAGTACTCATGTTTTGTGTTTAACCATTCCTAGAATATGATTGCATTTGAAAGAGTATACCTTTGTGCAACCAAAGAAAAAAAAAATCAATCAAGAAAATGAAATCAATATTCAATATATTTAATTTTTTATTATGGGAAATTTTTGTTATTTAGATTTTGAGAGCTCACAGGTCAATCTAGATAAAGCATGCTTAGTTACTCACATCCACAATAGAATTTAAATTTGCAACCTTATGAGATAGAATTTGATCCATACCGATTATGTGCGATGCAATACTCAATAGGGTCAATAATGATAGTTTTTAAAAATATCCTAATTTTAGTTCAAAAGACTAATACTTTTTCCCCTTCTATAAGAACCGAATTTAAGTGTTTCCAAAAAATATAAACAGTTTTTTTTTTTTTTTTACAATACACGAACTAATTGATAAATATTAATACAATTTTTTTTTTGAATTATGTACTTATATATAGGAACTTAGGGAGTAATTCAACATAAAATTGATTATTATCTTTTCAACTATGTACTTATATTTACCTAATTCATAAACAATTTATATATTTAATGTAAATGAGAAAGATTAGTTTGAAAGTCGTAAAAAAGTCAAAACATTAATTTTAGCACAAATAAGGATATGCATTATATTTTAAATTTTTATTTATCCTCTTAAATGAACAAATATTAAAAATTAAAGATAAAATTAACTTGAATATCAACATTATCCTCTTGCATATTTCCTTTGGTGGAAATAACTAGTATCTTTTATAGATAAAATCTCATGTCAATTGATTTACGTGTGTTTGTGAGTGACTAAAAATTCACATAAAAAATTAATTCATCAAATTCATTTAAAGTAAAAAAAAAAATCATCAAATTCATCCATTAACAAGTTTTTTATAGATGGATATCCAATATCCATCCATAAAAATAATGATTTAAAAATTAAATAATTTTTATTTTTAAAAAATTTTATTTCTCTCTTTTTTCTTTATAATTCATTATATTCTTTTATAATCTATCAAAATTTACAAGACTTTTTTACATCAAAATAATATTTTAAAGGCTAAAAACCTATTTTGGTCCCTTATAATCTTTTTTTGTTTCAATGTAGTCACATTTTTATTTTTGGTCTCAATTTAGTCCCAAACTAATTAATTGGTTTCAATTTAGTCCTAATTTAATTAATTAGTTTCAATGTGGGACTTCCGTCCAAATTTTTTTAACGGTGTTAACTCTTGAGGACGTGGATGCCACGTAGATGCATACGTGAATGCCACGTAGATGAGAATTTTTTAGGCTAAAAACCTATTTTGGTCCCTTATAATCTTTTTTTGTTTCAATGTAGTCCCACTTTTATTTTTGGTCTCAATTTAGTCCCAAACTAATTAATGGTTTCAATTTGGTCCTAAACTAATTAATTGGTTTCAATTTAGTCCCAAATTAATTAACTAATAATTGGTTTCAATAATAATTTTACTATATTTATAAATAAACTAATAATTTGATAAATATAACTTAATATACTTTTACAAAAATATAAATATATAAGATCAGATATATATTTGTAATTTATATACTTATATTTTTGTAAAAGTATATTAATATATAACAAGTTATATTTATCAAATTATTAGTTAATTTGAATAGATAAATAATTATTTAATTTGAATACATAAATAATTATTTAATTTTAAAACTATATATATATATATTAAAATTATTAATTTTTAATGGGAGAAACTAAAATCATACTATTATGATATTCGAGGGACTAAAATTGTTCAATTTAAAATTGAAGGATCAAAATCGCGCAATTACAGTTCTTTAAGGATTAAAATTACCCAATTAAAATCTTGAGATCAAAACTG